CACGTTGGCGATTGTGTCTCACCGCAATTTCCTGTCCTTTGTAGATCTTGGTTATCAATTCTAAACCACCCATTTACTCAATCTCGCAAGGTAGGTCACGCGTTGTTTTCCTCTACCTGTCTTGTCTTCAATCTGTTCTGCGAGCATTGCATTTTCTAAGCCTGAGGTGAAAATACCCAACTGCACACCCTAACCAAAACAACCACACTAGCCCCTAAAACACACACCCACAAGATGCCAAACCATGTGTAGAAATGTAAATGCTCATAACACAAATCTAATATATTTCGGTTGAGCTCTCTGGGGAAGAAGTGCGAGTTTGTAAGGAGTCACAATTACTGGTACTAATGCAATACCCTTTGTTAAAACGAATCGAGTTCTCTCAGTCACTGGCGTGTTTATCTAAAAATGAAATACGCTTAAATTCACATTCATCCCTGTCGTGCATCAACGTCTTAGGGATAGATACTCCGACTGACGCCAATTCAGCCGAGTTTCGATCCTAGCTAGAGGCAACTGGACATCTAGCTATACTGATGAGCTGAGATACACCTAGACAGTCTGTCTGCGGATGGCTATATATATATATATATATATATATATATATATATATATATATATATATATATATATATGGTAAACCTAAAGAGCCAGACCAACCTACCTAGGTTTCACCTACGCGGATCGTCAGGGCGGACTGGTTAAAAGAGGTGCTATAAGAACAGAAAATCTATAGCCTACAACACACAAAAAAATATATTTCCTGCTCTTATAGCACCTCTTTAGCCAATCCGCCCTGACGATCCGCGTAGCTGAAACCTAGGTAGGTTTGTCTGGCTCTTTAGGTTTACTTAGTTTGGTCTACTTAGCGTATTGAGCACTTTGCTTTACTTGTGTCGGTTTTTTTTTCTTTGGACTCTGAACTTAGATTCTAGACGATTATTTTCGCCGGAAGTTCATGTTCTTAGTTCTTTATTTTTTACCCTTTTCATTTCCCTGTGTATTGGTTTGTTCATTTACAAGCTAAAACACCTAAGGTTTTGCCGGACCAGTATGGCTGCTTATATTTATAAGATTATTAGTGTCATATATATATATATATATATATATATATATATATATATATATATATATATATATATATATATATATATATAAAAAACAAATATTCCATGGTCATAATTTATTCCATTGGAATCGTAAATACATCTGGATATATATATATATTTGCATATGTATGTATATATTTACCACTAATATTATCTCTCTCTCTCTCTCTCTCTCTCTCTCTCTCTATATATATATATATATATATATATATATATATATATATATATATAGATAGATAGATAGATAGATAGATAGAGGGTGTATGAAAATAATACTTTTACAAACTTTGGGGAGGGTTCCTCAGATTAAAACAAAGACAAAAGTCCATATAAAGATATATCTGAAATACCTTCGTTTTTTGAGTTATTAAGTATTAGGCAGAGCCTGTTAAATGTAAAATCCTAGATAAAATCCAAAAATACTTGTACAAACATAGGGGGCGGTTTTCTGACACCTAAACAAGGTAAAATATCCAGATAAACATATGTCCAAACGGCCATCGTTGTACCTCAACACACCAACTCACAACATATTCATGGCACATGGAACCGATCCTCCCCTACCTATCTTTCTCTCAGGATAGATGTCAGCCCGTGCATCACGAGCAATGTATTAATAATTTACTTGAGTGCCAATATGCATGAAACACATGCATCTTCCTAGTAGCAGGGGTACATCCTCTAGCAGATCTGGAAATATATTCGAAATAACGTCCCTCTAGACAGCACCTGTAAGACGTACTTGGAGAACATATGTACAAACCATAGAATCGATATTGAGTCACCCCCACGAGGGTGTCATGTGGCACAAGGCCTTTTTTAACGTGGGCATTACCGAGCCATTAGGGCTCGGCCAAAAAATTTATTTGAACCCGTATAAACGGGTTCAGGGCCAATTTACCTCCCGAAGGAGACTCCGCCCTTCGGCGTAGCCTCCTTCGGGTAATACTACTACTCATCACATACCATAGAATCACATACAATTCCAGGCAACATATTAATCGTAAACTGATGTTGGTTTCTAATCTGTATTATATCATGGGGATTCCGATCCGGCCACAAAAGTTCCTCGTTCCTTGTTACTCCATTTCTTCAAAATATTGCCTCATCCATAAAGAAGAGACAAATAATAAACCCGTAGTTTGTGCAATAAAGTATCGGCAAATGATCCCCATGGTGAGTGATCAGAGGGTAAAAGATCTTGCATACATTGCAAATCATATGGAGACAGTAGCCTGCTCTTGGAGTACTATGGTATGTAGGGCATGATATGGCCACTTGAAGTGTGCTGATATCTGAATTGTTTTCGATAGCCTGTAGAACGAGTTTTACGCATTCAGGCGTACGATCATATTTTCGGCTGTCTTCGGTCTGGAAACGCAATCTGAAACAGCCGTGCAGTCAGACGTCCTTTACCACTTTACCGTCCTTTGGCCGTATATAAGAATCGTATCTACCTGCTTGCGATATGAATATCTTGTGAGAGACTAGCCACAAACGTACACGAATGACAAACACAACCTAGTCTGCATGACAGCATTGGACCATTAACCGTAACCTTTCTTTAAACTCAAAAACAAAGATTCGCGGACATATATTTATATGGATTTTTGTCTTTGTTTCGGTGTGAGGATCCCGCACGCAATATTTATAAAATTATTTTTAATACACCCTGCATATATATATATATATATATATATATATATATATATATATATATATATATATATAATAAAAAAAAGGCTTAAACACTAATATTCCATGGTCATAATTTATTCCATTGGAATCGTAAATACGATCCAAATCATCAGACCTACAAATTCAAAATGAAAACAGAAAAAAACAACTCCGGAAATCAAAACAGAATTTAGAGAAAGTGTAAGTATGAGGATGAGTGACAGAGAGAATTTTTGGAGATGTGGGTGGGGTGGATTTAAAAAGAAGAGAGAAAGAAAGTCGACGGATGTCTAATACATAAAGATACATTTCGTGGTGACATATACACACCACAGACAATTCGGATAGGAAGGGAAAAAAAAAAAAAAAAAGGAAGGGTGGGGGAGAGAGATGGGACGAAGGAAAATGAAATTGTGTTTACTTAAAGGGCCGCTTTGTAATTGGGAAAATTAGTATAGACTACAGGTTATGAATCAAATATAAATATATGAAGATGAATATAACGATATATATATATGGTTTAATGCACGTGAAAATCATCAGGTATGGATGGGACTATGCCGTTTATTAATATTAAAACTAATAATTAATATTTAAATTTTAAAACTGTCGGTTTAAAAGCAAACATTATATATAACTATTAATATTTAAATTTAAATTCGAATAACATATCTATGTATTGATATTTAAATTTAAATATTAACATTTAAATTTTACAACTGTCACTTTTCAAACAGTGCCTGACAATTTACCCGTGCATGAAACGATAGATCATTAATAATAATAATAATAATAATAATAATAATAATAATAATAATAATAATTCAAGGAACGTGCAGTGGGCATTGGAAGAATGTGGCACATGAAGGTTTATTTGGAGTTCTGGTTTTGATTGGAATAGTTTCTCGTGGAGTCATTGAAATGATTCCTGGCAGTCGATGTCCTGTTTGATCTGACTCTTGCAAACAAACAATAAATAGATAAATAAAAATAGATAAAATTAAATCTAAATAAATAAAATAAAATAAGTGATTAAAATAAATAAATAAAATAAAATAATCTAAATCAATAAATAAAGAAACAAATTAAATACATAACAAACAAATTAACAATCTACGAAAGTACACATAAACACAAATAAATGTAATAAAAATAATCAGCAACAAATATTTAAGTAATCAATAATAATAGATAATAGATAAAAAACAAAAAAGTACTATAATACAGACACAAAACTGCATTTATGGCTACTCAATAGACCCTATAATAATTTGAAAGATAAGCGTTACAGGCCACCCAATAACCGTTAGAATAATACATTTGACCTACACATAATACACTATTGACCAGCATATATAAATAGTCGTGCCAAAACATATGGCTTGAAGATAGCGTTTAAGGATAAAACAGGCTTTCGCCGTTGGGTTTTGACTTCAATACCCACTTTTATATTAACATACGCTCTCTCCCTGATATTGAGCTCTTAACCCATAAATATAGCATACCTTATATATATATATATATATATATATATATATATATATATATATATATATATGTGTGTGTGTGTGTGTGTGTGTGTGTTTGTGTGTGTATATATATATATATATATATATATATATATATGTGTGTGTGTGTGTGTGTGTATATATAAGATAAGTGTCCTTTATAAGTGAAAACAACATAAGGCAAATGAACAATGTTAGCTTCTAGGAGGAAAGCGTGCATAACTGCGCCAATATTGTCTTGTACGTCTACGCTAGTAGCTATCGATCAAGCTTCCTCACACGGCTTATTTGCGTGTTGAGTCATTGCCAGCGCCAACCTACCGTCGCCGGATGTGTGGGTTTGGCGGTTGAAGGCGATAGAAGAGGATTGGTCCCCAAGTTTAATTTGAATCGCTGATGTCTTCGCTTATTTAATGCTTAGCAAGAAGAAATGAATTGGAAGTAATACAGGTAGATTTCGGATGCCAGTCGATAAAAACTGTAATTATTGCGGTGATGAAGGGAGTGGGCGTAGTGAGTGGATGTAGTCAGGCATTTGATGTCTCCTCGGCATCCAAAAGTCTCGTCTTGTAAGGCATTTGAGGATTTATGCGTGAGTAGTTAAATCCTACCACACACACACACACACACACACACACACACACACACACACACACACACACACAGAGCGACAGAGAGAGAGAGAGAGAGAGAGAGAGATTACAGCCTGCAGCCACATCATTTTGGAAGACCGGTTCTCATAAAATCCTCGTAGTTAAGCAACGTCAAGCCTGCTCACTACCTAGATGGGTGACCACTTGGGAATGTGAGATGCTGCATGCTTGGCTATGTGGATAATATAATGAATGGCTCGGAATTGTTAATCGGAGAGCCGTGTTCCAATTCCCGTTAAGTTCGTTATATTCACTTACGCGTAAATATCCTTTGAAAATATTTGCGCCCCCCCCCCAACTTTGCTTCTCCGCTATGGGTTAATTAATATGATTTGTATCACTAAACCGTTATTATACCCCGTCAAAAAATTATTACCATTGAAAAATATTTACTGGCATAATTAACCTGCAAAATTTTGATAAGCCGTAGAAAACGATTTTTTGAAGCATTTCACCCCCCAGCAAGGCGGGAGTGCCACTAGCAGGCAGGGGGTTACAGAGTGTTCGAGCTAGAGTAAAGAGGCGTGATAGAGGAAAGGATGAAGAGAAGGACAGGGAATAAGGCATCGGAAGATGTCGATTGACCTTGCATTTGAATAATTGGTGATTATAGCTATCAGGGAAGCAAGTATGGGATAGGGATTTCCGCAGACGAGAAGTGCGAAACATTAGGCTATTGGAGTAGAAGAGACTGTTGCAGTTTTTGTGGTATATGGTACAAGTAAGCTAGCCCAAATGACTTGACTCACTTTATAGTCCACCAATAGAAGGTTAACCAATCAGAAAACGTAGAATATTCAATCCGTCGTGTATACAGGCGGCCATTTTGTTTACTCTCCCCGAATGTCCAGTGCCAACTTGTCAAGCAAAAGAACAGAAGGAAGAACTACTGAACTACGCTCTGCTACTTTTACCGGGATATCCACTGCTAACCTGAACAAGGCTTCCCTACAGTCTTCGAAATATTCACTGCTAACCTCTGGATTCTATACTCAAAGACGACCGTCATCATGAACAACAGAGACGGCTATACTTAACCGATTCGTCACTGAAAGTTTGGGACTGAGATGCCAACCTAGTAGCACGTTTGAATGCATGCAGTTTGGGAACCAGTGAAAGTAGCTCGTTGGAGAAGTTATCATGAAAATATTTGTAGAAAAGACAGAGGGAAGCGATGGCACGTCTGTGAGAAAGTGACTGTAGACGAGATGCCAGATCAGGACCAACTACAATGCATATCCGTCTCTGGATTTTATCGAGGGCCTTGATACGAACAACGGAGACTCCAGACCATATATGGCAGCAGTATTCCATGCAAGAGCGAATGGTAGATTTATAGATTTGAAGGACATATATATTGTAAAATCTGGACTTAGATCTTTCAAGGAGAGCATAATTTTGAGTCGATTTTATTACCCATTTGACCAGGAAACATCACTTGCCTATACATATTGGAATTATCTATAGAAGTTTGGTTAAAGACATACGAAAGTTCTTTGTAAAAGGCCTTTTTGTTTAATTTCCTTACAATCGAACCATTGTCTTGCGATCTGGTGTAAAATTGAAGGTAAATTATTCACGTTTGAATTATTTCCGAAATTCAGAATTAAAATAGAAAAGTCCACAGCAAAAAACAATCATTAGTCGTTAGTCAAACGTGTATAAATGAAAAATAGCTGGTTAAATACACTGTATTTATAATAAGCGTCTAATATGCAATTCCCAAATTTTTAAGCCTAAAAATTAGAGGTGTGTATTAGACACAAGAACAAAATATCGACATTTTTCCATCAGTTTTATTTATATTCGAAACTAACTGTAAAAAGAGTTGTAATCAGTGATGAGAACACTATGGCTTGGTGGCCGGTTGTGGGTTCATGTATGACCGCGAAAGCATTTCAATAGAAATAAAAAAAATAAAAAAAATATAGATAATTTCATTTTTGTATAATTATTTTTTTCAAAATTTTCCTTGAATGTTCATGGAAAATTATCAAATTTCCAGAGACAACATGAAGTGAATATTGAAATTTTGGTCATTATTAAGCGTTAAATCGAAATAGTCTATCATATATGTTAATTATTCAACTATTTTTAATACCCGGGGCTCGCCATGAACACGCTAGGCGACATGCGTAGCGCTCCGCAAAAAAGAAAATGGGGTTTGCCCACCCCTGGTTTAAGTAATTAAACAAACACTGCATTTATTTTTGTTCCTGTTTTTAAAATAATTATTCACATAGATATTAAGCATGTTAATCTGCTTCAGTTTGTCTCTGTCACAGATAGACGCCATGACAGTATCATGTCGGCAGATTCTTAGCGCAAATTAATTACTCTTGATTTTACGTGGATGCAATATGAGTTTGTTTATCATTTGTTCGTCCTAGTGTGAAGTTATTGTCGCCGAAAGCTTGTTGCATTGTTGTTTGATACATGCATAATATATACATGATTTATATTTTTGTAAGTGCAGAGATAACTATGTAGATGCACCCGATTATCTGTGCATTTATTTATAATGAAAAGTAAAGAAAAGAATACTGGATTATTATGTAATAGTGGCCATTCTATATGGCAGTGAATTCTGTAAAATCTTCATCAGAGTTTAATAAGAGACTTAAAGCAACAGAAATGAGGATTTACTGAAGGATGTTGAAAATAACATTTAGTGAAAATATGAACAACGACCAAGACTTGCAGGATATGGAAACAGAAATGTCACTTATACTTCAAATTAGAGAGATATAGTTGCAATTTCTAGTGTATATAATGAAGAATAAGATATAGTCACAATTTCTAGAGCACATGCGTGTGTCGAATTTGCCAATGCGAGAAATTTTTAAAATAATGTGCAGTTTAAAATACATAATATTTGATTCCGTTCTCTTCACCTTCTAACAACTCTGTCGATGACTCATGTGAGTTGAAAGCTTGGACATCATATACATTTTGTCAATTTTCGTCGCCTACAAATAGCCACATTTGCGAAATTTTATTATCGTTTTACAGAAAACAATTAATAAGTTTAATGTTCCGAAAATGGCTATTCTGATAACACGGTGTATCAAAATAAATTTACAAACTTTGATGGGGAGGGTATGAAAGATCGACAAGTAGGGGAGGACCGATTCAATGGCCTACACGTTTTCCTGACCTCAATCGTATATATATTTTTTTTATCTGTGGGGCCACAATTGGTTTATGCAGCATACATTAATAATGCAGCGACCCTTCATCAACGTGTCATGGGGGCCTGCAAAACCAATCAACCGTTTGAAAGGTTCCACCAATCAATGATCCTACGGATGCATGAGTGAAGAAATAAGCGGAGGGCATTTTGAAAATGTGTTATAAGTTGCTGTGTTGAGGTACAACAATGGCCTTTTAGAAATATGTTTATATGAACATTTTAACTTGTTTTGGAATGGTGACCCCCCCACTACAAAGTTACCAAAAGTAGATTTGAATTATATATTTGATTATACATTTAACAGCCTCTCCCGAAAACTTTAAAATTAATAAATAAAAAAACGAAGGATTTGAGGATATATGTTTATATGATCTTTTATAATAGTTGTGTTGAGAAACCCGACCACAAAGTTAGTAAAATATTTTTGATAAACCCTGTAGAAATACAAGGCGTGATGTGTAAACTGACGCCATTTTATATTTTTCAATTCGCGCATATGATTCGTTTCTTTTTTATTTTGCCGGCTGCACTGAATAGTAGGGTCAGTTAAGCACTGTGAGAAAATAGCACAATGGCAAATTTCACTCCGCTGGAAATTTTCGAGCAATAAGAAACAATGTTGGATGAAAGACAAAAATCATCAATTCATTAGAAATTTCTTTGTTAAAGTTTCACATACAAAATCGAGCAGAAATGGACTCTCGAGATCTGAAAGTGAGGCTCTATATAAATGTAATAAGGCTGCTGATTTATAATGCTCTCATTGGCTAAGCTCACTATAGTACTTCGGAGAGCCTTTTACCGTATTATTACAATCAAGGGCGGTATGCAGAAAAATTGGTGCGTCTACTAAAATATGGATATCCACTAATATATATATATATATATATATATATATATATATATATATATATATATATATATATATATATATATATATATATAATTATTATTCACACAAAACTAATGCAAAGGTTAATGGTTTAAATGGCGAGACATCCATCATCGCAAACAATTCAAATAGTACACAAAAACCTCCAGATCCGTTATGAATGAATTGATCCTTGTTTATATAAATTTCTGCATTAGTTTTGTGTGAATAATTCATGTATTTGTAAATTGATTGCACGTTTATTGTAATTTAAATAACTGATCCATATGCGACTTTTAGATAATAAGTGCGACATTACTGTAATTATTGAACAATATAGTTCATGCCACTTTGACAGTAAAATTTACCAGTAAAAATTTGTTCATCACCATATTTGGTATAAACGCAAACACTTTAAAAAATTTAAAATCAAACTCAGCGTTGCTTTGGCTTCGGATACAATAACATATATATTTTCGATGTGCTCTTATTACTAAGAGAAAAAAAACAAGAACAACATCTATTATATACCTGAAGATGTCTGTAGGAACAGACGAAAGCTTGTAGTAAAATAACAACTAATACGGCAGAAATTTATATAAACAAGGATCAATTCATTCATAACGGATCTGGAGGTTTTTGTGTACTATTTGAATTGTTTGCGATGATGGATGTCTCGCCATTTAAAAATCATTAACCTTTGCATTAGTTTTTTGTGTGAATAATTCATGTATTTGTAAATTGATTGCACGTTTATTGTAATAATATATATATATATATATATATATATATATATATATATATATATACGGTAAAACCTTAATTACCTCAGTATGAGTATAGTCTATTTTGGCTGATATAAGCCAGCCGTTTTCAGCTCTTAAGTCTTTGTCTGGAAGCACTTAAGAGCCGAGAACGGCAGGGGTCAGATTCAGCCAGAAGTAGACTATACTCATACTGAAGTAATTTTGTTTTATTGTCTTAATATATATAACATCATCTACAGACAGACTGTTTCGCAGCTCATCAGTGTGGCTTTGATCGAAACCCGACTGAATTGGTGTCAGTCGGAGATTCTACCACTAAGTCGTCGGCGCAGGGCA